TCCCGAAACCGCAGCTCCTCGGGTGACTGCGCTGGAGCGGGGTCTGGGGGTGTCGGGGCAGGGGCCTGGCGGGCGGGGCGTCGCGGGGAGCCTCACGCCGCCCTCCTCCCCCCAGTGGACAGTTTCCGCAGTCGCTGCTCGTCCGCCAGCTCCTGCAGCGAGTTGGACGACTTCTCCGAGTCGCTCTCCAGAGGGTAAGCTTGGGGTGGCGCATAGGCCCGCGTCGAATCGGGTTTCTGGGGGAGCCTGCAAACAGCCTTTTGCCGGGAAAGCCTTGAAACGACGGGGTTCTGCCAACCGCGAGTGGGCGGTGCCAAGGACTCCTCCCCATTGGCCCTCGATTGCCCGCTCCTCACAGGGTTCGCCGCCGCCGGAAGCCTCCCAGCCCCGCTAGGTGGAATAGGCCCAGCGCGGTGAGTGGCTGCCCTCAGACCTTGGAGGGGGTTAGGGTGACCAGCAGAAGCCGCCTGCCCCCACCGCCCACGATTCCATCCTGGGCGATCGGGTTGCCCAGGCAGCTCTGAAATGCTTTTAGAAACAGGCTGTTAACAGACCAAATAGATTGGAGCGGGGACGGCACCGGAGGGCGGTTAAGAGCGCGCCAAAGGTTCCAGTGGCCAGATCTTAGATCTGGTTCTCCTTCCACCTGTGTGACGTCAGCTACTGAACCCCAGTTTCTAACTCTGCTAAGTGGGAACGGCCAGTGTCCACTTCAGGGTCATGGGGAAGATAGGAGGTGATTTAGCAGATAATGAATGTCCAGTTTGTCAGCGCCCCCCACTTTTTTTTGAGGACTTTAGGGGTGAACGTCCAGTGGAATTGGTGTGGGGGTGTAGGAATAAGGGGAGGGAGCCTGACCCCCTTTCCTAACCCCCTCTGCAGCAGCAGAAGTCCACCTCCCTGGAGCACGGCCGCCATCAAAGACGCCTGGGCAATTCGGGAGGCTGGGTCCCCATCAAAGGTGAGGCTGGGCGCCCCTCCCATCTCTGTTAGCCCCGGAGCCCGCAGGGATGGTACCGAGGCAGCCTGTTGGGCCCCTCACAGTCCCCCTTCCACTGGAATGCTCACTCCCACAGATTACAGCTCAGACCACCAGACGGCCGACATGGCCGAAATAGACGCCCGCCTGAAGGCTTTGCAGGAATATATGAACCGGCTGGACACGCGGTCATGACCGCACACTCCACGCCCCCCCGTCACCCCCGCTGGGGTACGGCGTGGGGGCGGGGGCGGGGCCGGGTCCCAGCCAGCCCCGCCCCTCCTGGTGCTCAGGTGTGAGGCCCCGCCCCGTCCCCGCCTCCCCCTGCAGTGTGTGCTGGGTGGGAGGGTTTGTGCGTTTTGTAAATAAATGTATTTGTTCTTGGGACCCCTCAGCTCACGACTGAGTGGGGGAAAATGAGGATTTGGGGTTGGGGTGTACGTGGGGCCTATGTATATTTCTGGATGTGTCTGGATAGACACGGGTTCAGGTCCACGCAAAACTTGGGCGCTTCCTAAAGCAGCAGTAAGGGTGGCCTGAGGCGTGGTAGTGAGCGGCCAGGCCCCTCAGGGTCCGAGCAGAGAGCCTGCGCGGGGACCTGTGTGGCCGTGCAGCCCGGCGCACGGCCCCAGGACCCCGGGCTGCTGTCCCTGACGCCAGGGCGACTCGGTGCCGATTCCTGGGCTCTGACCTGAGACCTCTGGGTTCTGAGCTGTGATGTCGCTGGTGAGCTGGGATCTCCGGGGTCTTGGTTCAGGGTCGGGGCCTCCGGGTTCTGAGCACCTGGAGGACAGTGTTTGTGGGCGGGGCAGGGCTGTGGTCTCGTGGGCGGGGACGCACGTGGCGACGCCTGGCGGCACTCAGTTGGAGCTGCACCTTTATTGTGGGAGGAGACGGGCACTTCCGGCCGCGGCGGGGAGCGGAGCGGTGGAGGGGTGGGGCCGGCGGGCAGGGCCTCACGCGCGGTAGTGGGGCCAAGTCTGGATGATGGCGTAGAGCTGGTCGCCGGGGGAGAGCGTCTGCTGCACATCTCGGTGCCCTTTGACCTCGTATCGGGGGCTCAGGGCGCCCTGCGCCACGCCGCACGCCAGCAGATTCTTGGCTGCCCGGAGGGCCCGCGCCGGGGGCACCCGCTCTGCGGGAGGCGAGGCGAGAGTGAGGCTGGGGCTTTCTGGGAAGGCGTGCGTCTGTGTGTGGTTCCAGTCAGGGGCCAGATGGGGGCTCTGCCACTCCCAGTAGTGACTTAGCTTCTCTGTGCCTCCGTTTCCTCATCCGTGCTTTGCACTGAGTAAGGCCACGACTTCCTCCTTCCTACCCCCTCGCAAGTGTCTAAGGTTTATTGGGTATTGTTCCTCCCCGGCGCGGCCTTCGGGTCCCACCGCTAATAATAACTGACATATAATAAGCCCTTCTTAGATGCCATAGATTAAGCACTTCTTTGTGATCAACGAATTTTCAACCCTATGGCTGAAAATGACCCCCATGGTGGCATAGTGCCTAAGGCATTTGACTGCTAACCAGAAGGTTGGTAGTTCAAATCCACCAGCCACTCCGAGGAAGGAAGACTGGGCAATCTACATCCATAAAGATTTATCACCTCGGAAACCCAAAGGGGGTCTCTTTGCATCTGAATCGATTTGATGGCAGTGGGTTTGCTTTTCTTTTTGTTTTTTTACCCAAAGGGGGCTCAGACAAGGTGGAAGAGCTGGTAATGGCAGGGTTTCTCCACCCCCCCACCCCCGCTGCTGCCGCCCCCAGGTCCCATGGCTGCCCCTGCCCATCACTCACCCATGTAGTTGCCCATGAAGGAGATGCCAATGGATATGGGGTTCCAGGTGGCCCCCGTGTGGGCTCCCTTGGTGTACCAGCCCCGGCCCTCATACACCTGCCCATCTTCTCCGATCAGGAAGCTGTGGGGGTGGAAGCGGGCAACCGCTGAGTCAGGGAGGCTTCCTGGGGAAGGACCCCGTCCCCTTCTCCATTCTTCCTCCTGTTCTTGTCACTCACACAGTTTCCCCAACATCCCCCTTCTCCCTGTCTTATCTTCCATCGCACTAATAATGACAGCAGCCATTTGAGTCCCTGCTATGGGCCAAGCATGGCTATATGTGCACCTTACAGCCACTAAGACCCCTGATTATAGACAGGATCAGAGAGGTGAAGTCACTTGCCCAAGGTCACACAGCCAGGCAGGGAGCAAACTTGACTCCCACCCACATGGTCTTATTTCTTGCTCTCTCTTGCCTCCCGGAGGACTTGTTGAGCTCTGGTTTTGCTGAATCCTCACACGACAACCCTCGAAGGTAGGTACCACCTTGTTGTCATTCCCATTTTAAGCTGAGGAAGCAGAGCCTCAGAGAACGAGGTGACCTGCCCAAGGTCAGATTACCCAGGATTCTCCACTGAGACACTCTGTCCCCGGCCCTGCCTGCTTCCTGGCCTCCGGATCCACCTGGGCGATGGGGTCAAGAGCTCTGGGATTTTAGGGTTACACATGGACCCTGAAGCCCCCGCACCTCCCTCCTTTGTAATCCTGGCAGCTGACCCTGAAAACTGGTTCATTCGTTTGTTCCCCCATGTCCTGACTGAGCGAGCCTTATTTGGTTCTTTGCAGTTAATAGGCGATTAGCACCGCGGTGCTGTAGGACCTTCGGTTTGCCCCGTGGAGTTCCAGCTCCCCCTTGTGCTGGGGAGACCCTTATGCAGGACCCCAGCCTCTTGCATGGAAAGGGGAGCTGGTGGGGCGGGCCCCAGAGGCAGATCTAACCGTCCCGGGCCCTGTTTGAGCCCCTCACTCTCCTGCAGTCTGTTCTCCCTACATGACCGCCAGAGGACGACTGTGAGAACCTAGGCTCACGCCCCTTTGCTCAGAGCCCTGGCCTGGCTCCTGCCTCAAAGTCAAAGCCAAAGCCCTTACCGTGGCCCACCAGGGTCTGCACAATTTGGTCCCTACCATCTTTTCCCACCTCTTTCCATACCCCCTACAACCATGGCTAGCACTTAAACTTGACCACAGCACCCACCAACAACAGCCCCCATCTGCCTCCAGCCACACTGACCTGCCCTTCAGACCAGCCACTCGGTCTCACGGGAGCCCTTTGCACCTCCCGTGTCCCTGTTTACCACACTCCTGCCCAGCTCCCTGATCCCAGAGCCAACTCAAAGCCACCTTCTCAAAGAGGCCTGTGCGGGTTCTAGCTTCTGCATTCGCCCTCACATCACAGTGTTCCTTTTTTCCGTCACATGTGTCACCACCTGAATCCATCTAGTTGACTGGGCTTGTTTCTTACCTGTTTCTCCCTTCTGTCAGAGTGGCACACAGGTGACCAGAACATGGTCCCTTAACCTCCCTAGGGCTGAATTCACACTGTGCAGGGCTGTGTCCCTATCCCCGGGTCCATCATGGGGCCCAGTACGTGGCTGGTGGCCAGTAGCAGCAGGTCACGTATTTTAGGACACTTGCCTGCTAACCAGACGGCTGGCGGTTCAAACCCACCAGCCACTCCTTGGAAGGAAGGTTGGGCAATCTACTTCCATAGTGATACTGCCTCGGAAACCCAAGGAGGGGTCGCTCTGAGTCAGGTCCAACTCCACGGCATATAACAACAACAGCAGCTGTACATGCCAGAGTGCTGAGTGGTGCAAACAGTCAAGCACTCACCTGCTAACTAAAAGGTTCAGGGCACTAGTCCACCCGGAGGTGCCTTGGAAGAAAGGCCTGGTGATCTACTTCCCCCACAATCAGCTCTTGAAGACCCTGGGAGCACACTGTGACACATTGGTTTGCTGGGAGCCAGAGCCGGCAGCATCTGGGCCTGGTACTTAACGCCAGGCAGGCTCTGAGTGGTTTGCAGGCCCTGGCCCCTGTAAGTCAGGCGGCCCAGCATTCTAGGGACTTTGCAAGGAAGGAAGCTGAAGGCGAGGAAAGCTGAGTGACCAGCGGCCCCGGGTCTCAGCTGTGCTAGGGCTGCAGCCCACCTCCATCCCTAACCAGCCTGGTGGTCACCTGTTCCCAAAGGCATTAGGCAACTTTTTTGAGCACCTTAGACAAAACCTGCTCCCTCTTTGGCGGGCAGAGCTGAGCTTTCAGGTTCTTTGCCCTTTTCAGGCGTTTTTTTTTTTTTTTGCTGCCTGCATGTGCCCAGCGCCTGGAGGTGGAGTGAACTGTCCAGGCCTCCGGCGCGCGCGCCTTCCCCCCGCTCCGGCCCCTCGCCACGCCCGGCGAGCGCGCGGCCTCGCACTCACTTGTAGCCCACGTCACACCAGCCTCGCTCCTTCATGTGGTAGTACTGCACGTTCCGGGCCTGCTGCTCGCACAGGGCGGGAGTGGCGCAGGTGCTACCCGCGGTGTGCGACACGATCACGTAGCGCACGGGCAGCTTCAGGCCTTCCCTGCACTGGGACGCCATGGCCCTCCACTCGCTCCGGGGCACGGTGAGCTCGCAGCCGATCGTGGTCTCTCCAGTGCGAGCCGCCCCCAGGACGAGGAGGCCAAGGAGAGCCCAAGGCAACGGCGCGCGGCGGCGACAGGACATGGCGGGCAGGGTGCGCGGGGACCGCTAGGAGCGCGGCGGGCCGGGCGGCCTTTATGGGCCCCCTGCGGAAGGGGGAGGAGGGGCTTGCTTAACACTCCAGCGGGTTACACTTGGCGCCAAACTGCGCTTTCTTCTCTAGTAGGAAAAAGACAGGATGCATTGCGGTCAGGTCCGGGTGGGGGGGCCAGGAGTAGCCTTTGAAAATGCCTGGGGGCCACTCAGCCTGCGCGGGAGACGGGGTGGGGGGGCCACGTGCTCTGCCCAGTGGTTGCTGGAACACCCAGGGCCTGGCTCCCCGCCGGGTACTGTCTCTCAGTGGCATTGGGCAATTACCAGGAACTAAAGCTGCAGGGACAGAGGCCCAGACCTTGGGACTTCCCCTTCTCTTTCCTTCAGGGACAGGTTTCACAGGCTCCCCACCCCACCCCCTTTTTTTTTTAAATTGTGATTTGGGTGAAGGTTTACAGAGCAAATACGCTTTCCATACAGCAGTTCACATACACTTTGTCTCATGACATTGACCACAATTTACCACAATGCAACAGCTCCCCTCCCACTTCCTCCCCATAGTTACCTCTTCCCTGTGTCCATCCCTCCATGCACTCCTGCCCACTGAGCTGTCTCCCTGTGCATACACAGCTGGTCCCTACCATCTTTTCCCACCTCTTTCCATACCCCCTACAACCATGGCTAGCACTTAAACTTGACCACAGCACCCACCAACAACAGCCCCCATCTGCCTCCAGCCACACTGACCTGCCCTTCAGACCAGCCACTCGGTCTCACGGGAGCCCTTTGCACCTCTCGTGTCCCTGTTTACCACACTCCTGCCCAGCTCCCTGATCCCAGAGCCAACTCAAAGCCACCTTCTCAAGGAGGCCTGTGCGGGTTCTAGCTTCTGCATTCGCCCTCACATCACAGTGTTCCTTTTTTCCGTCACATGTGTCACCACCTGAATCCATCTAGTTGACTGGGCTTGTTTCTTACCTGTTTCTCCCTTCTGTCAGAGTGGCACACAGGTGACCAGAACATGGTCCCTTAACCTCCCTAGGGCTGAATTCACACTGTGCAGGGCTGTGTCCCTATCCCCGGGTCCATCATGGGGCCCAGTACGTGGCTGGTGGCCAGTAGCAGCAGGTCACGTATTTTAGGACACTTCCCTGCTAACCAGACGGCTGGCGGTTCAAACCCACCAGCCACTCCTCAGAAGGAAGGTTGGACAATCTGCTTCCGTTCTTCAAAACCATTGCACAACATTTCGTGGAATAGGTTCACCGCAGTTACATAAGCTTTTCCGTTTTGACAGGTTTCCAGTTTCCTTTGTCCCCACGCAGCACAAAATATTCTTGGGCAACAGCCTTACACACTGGAGCGTTTATGGATTTTAGATAGAGACTTGCTAGGTCAAAGACTCTACATACTTGAAATGCTCATAGATAATACAAACAAACTCAGTGCCTTAGAGTCAACTCCGACTCATAGCGCCCCTAGAGGACAGAGTGGAACTGCCCCATAGGGTTTCCAAGGCTGTCAATCTTTATGGAAGCAGACTGCCTCATCTTTCTCCTGTGGAGTGGCTGGTGGGTTTGAACTCCTGACTTTATGGTTAGCAGCCAAATGCTTAACCACTGGACCACCAGGGCTCACTTAATAGATTTTTATCTGGTTGTTTTTCCCATAAGGTCATTAACAATTCACGTTTCCACCAGTAATGTATCTGAGGCCCTTCTGCCCCTCTCCAAGAAGTGGGTGTTAGCACTTCTTAAATTTTTGGGTAGAAAGTGATATCTCATTGTATTTTAATTGGCATTTTTATGACCACTCAGGAGATTCAGGATTTTTCTTTGTTTACTGCCCATTTGGATCTGCTCCTCTGTCAATTGCCTGTTCATATTTGTTGTTGTTATGTGCCATTGAGTCGGATCCGACTCATAGCGACCCCTCCTTGGGTTTCCGATGCGGTATCACTACGGCAGTAGATTGCCCAACCTTCCTTCCGAGGAGTGGTTGGTGGGTTTGAACCGCCTGACTTCTGGTTAGCAGTCAAGTGCCTTAGGCACTGTGCTACCAGAGCTCCCTGTTCGTACTTATTTCCCAATTTTTCTATTGGGTTATTTGCTTTTTGTTATCAGTTTGCAAATGAGGAAGAGCTCTGTAACTGGGGTTGTTGAGTTGCTGAGTTTGTACATTAAAATATCCTGTGTCTCAGTTATTTTTAAAACCATCAAAGAATGACCCACATATAAAAAGATGCCCAACTCATAAATGGAGAACTCTAGTTTTACAAATGAATGCACTCAGATTGAGAAATAGAGCTACACTTTAAATTTTAATGAGAAGCTCTTGGTGGTGTAGTAGTTAAAGCATTTGGCTTCTAACCAAAAGGTCAATTGTTGGAAACCACCAGCTGCTCCATGGGAGAAAGTCTGCTTCTGTGAAGACTGACAGCCTTGGAGACCCTGTGGAGCAGTTCCACTCTGTCCTCTAGGGGCGCTGTGAGTCAGA